CGGGGCGGAAAAAAAACCCAGCCCCGGGAGGGGATGCCTCCCAGAAACTAAAACGCATGTTGTACGGAGACTGAGCATATTTGAGACAAACCATGTCGGCATGCTTCTTGCACGATTCCGCCTCTACGGGAAAGCGAGGTTTTCCCCTAGAGCTTGAACGCTGCGCTCGTGCAAAACATATTGAGCAAGATAGCACAACATACACTGTACAATGTACAGTGCAGTCACTGCACCAGAAATGGCAGGATAAAAAATGTAGGAGCTACGTCAGTCGGATTCAAAAAGCCGAACATTTGACATGCCTTCTAGCTTGGAAATGAAGGGTACCCAATGTTTTGATAGCATGTCTTATTTTGCTGGGTGGTTCGTTTCTTAATTCAGATGTTCTCAAGCCTCGAAACCATTAAAATAAGAAATCTAGGGGGCTACGTTTCTTATTCTTGCGGTTTCCGAGCACCGGGCAAGAGCCAAAATAATCACTGTAGGGGGCTACGTTTCTTATTTTCGTGGCTCCAGGCCTAAGCCTAGGGCACAAAGGCAGAGGCCAAAACGAGAAATGCATGGGGCTACGTTTCTGTTGATCACACGATCTAGCGGAGTGCCTTGATGATCTTCTCTGTATCGTTCCAAGTTTATCAACGAAGGTTCATGCCGCAGCAAGCAAGGGCTTGTTTTTCCGCACTCAAACAAAGGGCACAAATTCCAAGTATGCTGACGACTGCATTGCAAAGTCTGCTGCCTTTGCATTCCGAAGCATCAAACGGCTCCGGGAACTGCATTCAAAGTAAATCATGAGGATTCCACAGTTTCCCATTTTGGTGGTTTCCAGGCCCTATGCCTATGCGGCACAAGGCAGAGGCCAAAATAAGAAATGTAGGGGGATGTTGGGGGCTACGTTTGTTATTTTCGCAGTTTCCAGGCCCTAAGCCTAGAGCACAAGGCCCCCCAAAACAAGACTAGGGGGCTACGTTTCTGGCGGTGTCTGCCTAATGGCAAAAAGCTCGTGGCTCAGTACCTGGACTTCTATGGGCTCGAGCACCGGCTAAGAGATGAGCAAGAAATGGAGGGTACCCAACGAGTCGGGAGCTGGGACAGGTGGAAACGTGAAACTAAAAGAAAATCAAGAAATGACGGGCAACCAACGCTGGGAGCTGGCATTTCTTATCCAGCAAACGCACTGTAACCGAAGACAACGCCCTTGATGAATTTGGAGATGTTGGAGGACGTCAGTAGGAAGTCCTGCTAAATTATCCGCAACGGTCGGAAGTACTTAATACATTGCGTCCTGCTCCCTCATGATGTCCCTCCTGGCTGGATTGGATTCGAACGTGCACAATGAAATAATGTGAAAGAGTGTTCAGTGTTCATCCGCTCCCGAGCTTAAGACCACCCAGAGCAAGATCTGCAATCCCGATCGGCCCTCAACACCTGCAGAAGTCCAACATACACAAATATAGTAGGATCCTAGACCAGAAACCGTCGTGGGACCCTAGGATCCGTAATGTAGGGGCCATAACTCGCACCCTCCACCCCTGGAAAACAGAACAACCGGCTCGAAGCCCAGGCGCGGAAGGTGGAGCCCACGCCTTGCTCGGACTCCACGACCAAGTCGCCACCGTGCTTCCGGACCACCTGACGTAGCACACACACACACACAAATATGAGATGAAACTACAATCAGAACCAAAAGTATGTATAACTGTCAACAACGAACAAGGGTCAATCTATATGACACATTGATGGATAATGAGCTCTTTCACAAAACCTTCTCTCGGGTAGTCCTTCCCCCCCTGCCTCGCGGCTGATGGACAGGCCAAGCCCAAGCCCGGAGTACTGTCGACTCTCCGAAGTGTCCTGTGACTAGGCAACTCCGAAAAGGTTCTGCATTCGGCTGGGTTGCGGGGATTGCAAGAATTTAGGGATCGCTATGGACACCAAAGTTTAGGCCTGCTTAGGCCGTTTAGGCATCTCTAGCTCCAGCAAACAGGCGCAGTCCTCCTGGTCGAAAGGCCTTGGAGCGGACCGCTTGCTTTGAGAGTCTTGGGGTTTGGAGTTGAGGGCTGCCTTGGATCCTCATGATCATCTTCGGTGGCGTCCATGTCGTTGTCAAGTCTCGAAAATGACATCAATTGATCCTTTTGGGGTTCTATATGAGAAGGCTTTGGTGCCTTTGCTCCTGCTCCGCATCTTGGGAGAGAAAAAAGGATTGAAACTGTAGAGAAGTTTAGAGAACTGAAAGCTTTAGAAAGTCCTGGCATCTGCTGAGCCCTTCGCTGCCGCGTTTTGGTTAATGCGCTATGGACGCAATGCTCAGACCTGCAGCAGCCTGTAAGAGACTCTGCCGAAATCAATACAAAACCCGAACCGGCCCTAAATCTTAACTCCACCAAAAGTTAATATTTTTGCCGATCGGCTCGAAGATGCGGTCGATGTTCGCTTTCTCGATGCCAATGCCTGTTACAACAATGGCATTCCGTGTCTCGACAAATACGTGTGTTTGTGTAGACAGAGAAAGAGAAAGAGCTAGATCGAGAGACAGAGATAGGTGGTACACAGATGGATAGACAGATGGGTGTCTAAATAGATAGACAGACCGATGTGACATTCCGTTGTCCACAACATAGTAATCCGGGTCATGTGCTATGTCACACACGTGCTGTGTCACACACACACACACATGCACATATTTGTGTGTATATATGTAAGACATTGACATGTATGTACATACATACATACCTACATATGACATATTCCAGCAGAGCATCGGCAAGAAAGGTGTGCCACCTTCTTCGTTCCCTCCTCTCTTCCGTGATTCTTAACTTGTGATGAAGTCTACACGATTCGCCTGGTTTCTGCATCGTCAAAACCACCCCACCCTCCGAGACTCGCATCAAGTCGCGTGCACCTAACACTTTGACGACACCGAATGCTTCAACGACACAGAGCTCATGGCCACGGCTCAGAAGCGAACCCTGCCCTGTTCTTGCCCCGCGCTCTCCTCTTTAGGCCGAGTGTCTGGACACGAACCCTACTTAGATGCAAGTTTAAACTGACCTGCAAGGGGCCGACGCCCTCAGTGGATTGCAATGCCCCGGCCTGTGTCTTCGATTTCGACGAAGACTCGCTGTTCTTCATCGTCGTAGCCAGCTGACACCACCACAGAGCCCTCATGAGTGAACCTGTCGTGTCAGCATGTGAGGCTGGGACTCATGTACAACGATGTCGTCCATGGGTCCATGCAAAAAGTCCCAGGGGCTTGATCGCGTTCGTGATCAAGTTGTACAACAGTTGCGTGCAGCGGTAAGCATCGGCTTCGATAATTGGCAGCGCGTCGTGGATGTTGTTGATAAGTTGAACACCTGCAAGGCATGTCACGCAAAAGGGCGACATCAAAGCAACGAGACAGATGTGCCTGGTCTGAGCAATGGTCCTCGGTCTCTGCCGTTGCTAGCTGTCCGGCAAAGAGTGATGACTTCGTCGATGATGTCCTTGAGGGTCCAGGTGTGTTTTTCGTTTTTTTCCTCGAAAAACGCCACAGACACACCAAAAGAACCCCCACCCTGTCCTTGACCTGTACCGGATCCCTGGACATTCGCATCTTCTTGTTGTTCACGAGCACGGACCTGAGCAAGGAAGACCCGTTGAAAATCTTACTACCATGGAAACCTAAACCCCTCTCTTCCCCCCGCGCCCCGGTCCCCTCCCCCCTCACATCACGAGACCAAAGAAAGGCCTTAGCAAGCAATTCGTAGGACTCTAACTCTTGCCAAGGCTTTCCTAAACACTGAATCCTTGCCCGGAAGTAAGTCTTGCCAAGCGCTTGCTAAGGCCTTGCTAAGTGCTTGCTAAGCCTGTCGCCTCCTGCGAATGTCTTGGGTAAGTAAGGGGGAGGGGCGGTGTAAGGGGGGTCTACTAATACACTTACTAATACTACTAGAAACAAATACTAACAATACAAAGTAAAAATAACAATAGGAATAAACAGAAGAATACCTACAGAGGCTTTTATCTTCTCTTCTCTCTCTGCAGCCCTGGGACGTGTCCATGATGTTGGCCACCATGTCCAGCAAGCGCGTTGCGCAGCTGTACACCATTTCCAATGACCTCGGAACCTGGCCTGCCTCCACGGCTGCATTGCCATCCAGAAGGGAACTGCAAAGGCCGATAATTCCATGCAAAGGGCTTTTGAGCTCATGGGAAACCATGGCCATCATCGAAGCTTTCCGCTCATCCAGGTCCTTGAGTCTTGTGATGTCTTGACCGATGCAGATGGCGCCGTTGATCTGGCCCGACAGGGACACACATGGGGTGGCCGTAACGAGCAATGTTCTCTTCCTCGGATCTGCGTTTCGCGCTTGTTGTGAAACAGCCTTTTTCATGCGACAGCGACTTCTTATGCTAGAAGATGAAGAGGTGGAGCATAAGATAACAAACAACGGAGAACTTCTTCAAGCTTGGCCGAGCTGCTGGTCTTCTGTATTCACCAAGTTGATCTCAAAGAGATCCGCGTCGCAGGAGCCCAGAACTTTTTTACACGCATCCTCTCCAGCTCTTAGCAGGCTCGCTTCTGACTTAGGCTGCAAGTTTGGTCTTTGGCATTCGTCATCGTGTGCATGGTGCGTGGCACTGTGGTTCATAAATGATGTTGCCACAAGCAGCTGCGGCACTCTTGGCGCGACATGCTAGGAATGAAGTGCGGTTGGAGGAACAGACTTGCAGGCAGGGGTGGGAGGTTCATGAGCGAGGATTGCAAGAACGATAGTTCTGGTGCAGCGTATTCCTGCCTAAACTCGCAGCACGGGAATAGCTAAAACTATCACGGGGTGGGCTTGCAGAACTGATTTCCAAGCCTGGGGTTGGGGACAACAACAAAATAGCTAGGTCTTGCGCTCATGTTGATGAGCATCAGAGTTCCAGCTAGTACAGCCGCAACCGCGTTGTCCTTTGGTTTGGGGATGTGAGTCATTTAGACGGTCACAGGACCCTCGCGCAGAAATGCATATATAGGTTGAACCACCCTTCTTGATGACCTGTTCCGATGAGAACACGCATGCAGAAGCCAGGTTCTTCTACGAATCGGAAGACTTCTAAAGACTTGGGGCGGATCCTGGAACTTCTTCTTGGACCCAGGGCTCAGCACCGTGGAGATGTGCTTTCCCAGGACAGCCTGCCTCTCCAAGCCGGTGGTTCTCACCAGCCAGTTGTTCCAGACCACGATATTGTCCGAGAGGTCCACTTGAAAGATGGGGGTGTTGGCCTCGACGTGGAGGCGTTTGAAGACTTCTACAGTCTGGAATTTCTCAGCCAAGTCGCCGCTTCGATCAAGCCTTAACAGCAAGTCCACAAAGCGTCCGAAACTTCTGACTGGAGCATCTGCACATGATTACGACGTTAGGATTACTGCAGATATCCTTTTTCCGCGTAGATTCCGGCCCCGGGGTTCGATAGCCTCCCGGAGAGGCTGAGGCTTCAGCTCCGGATACGGCCAGGTGGCGCGTCAGACCATCTGCGACAGCTTGTGCTCTGTTCTTTTCCTCAGGTTGATTCCAGGAACGCCAGCAGGCACTCCCAGCCAGTAAAAGTCAAGAGTCTGCAGTGATGGCAGAAATATCTTGCCCAATGCCTTGGACAAGAAACAAGTTCGCATCTTCATTCACATGTCGTGTGCACCATGGCGCTCCGCTCGCAGCAGTCGCAGCAACAGTGGGTGGCCAAGGCGGCCAAGCTGCACACGGCACCCTTAACTTCCCCGGAGCCACCACGTAGGACGGTGGCAGACACTGCCATTACGGTTCCCGCGGGGTAAGTGAGACAGCCGCTAGCATTGAATGTCATCCTTAGTCATCTAGGAAGCGATGTCAAAAGAGAGAACTTTGAACAGACTCCATGGCGACGGCAAACTGCGACGTTGCTTTGCTTTTCTGGTCGCGGCTCTCAGTGATGTTCGGCTCGTGTTCTTCCATAGCATCCTGCAGCAGATCACCTTGGCTGAGCGGCTGAGCTCTGCGGGATGCGAGAGGCGGTTTGGGCCGCTCAGGCCTGCAGCTGACCACCAAGAGTCCAACTCATCTCCCGAGGCTAAGTCCTCAGATCAGAGGGGGGCGGTTTCGGGCTCTCCGTCCGACCGTCTTGTGAAGTTTACACTGAGCTGCTGATAGCACATGACCCACTGCTTCTGTCCGGGAAATGCCTGATGCCACAGGGAGAGCTTGCAGTGCACGTGTGCAAACATGTATGGAGCAGGCCTGTTACCTCCTCAATCTTCAGGTTCCAGTCCTTGGAAACACGAGAAAAAAGACGCCGGCAAAAAGGTTCGGAGAAGCCCCATGTGCCTAAAGCGGGTGGGGGTCCACAAATTAGACCAATCGCGCTTCTAAGGGACCCGCCCTCCAAAAACAACCCCCCCGGCCCAGCCTGGACCTTCTGGTCCATGTTGACCGTGAAGATCGGCACCTCAGCGCTTCCGCGAAACCCTCCTTGCCAGGGTGCCAGTGTCTTGTCAAGATGCGCTCGCTTGCCGAATCATCCGCTGAAGGTCTGCAGCCGCAGTGTAGGCAGCCCTTCCTGGACGGAGTCTGCGGTTGAGTGTCATCATGCCCCACGTCCCTACGTCGCCCTGGGTTTCACCACAGGTCGCCTTGTCCGAGTGAAGACGAGTAATGGCAAGAGAGGTTGGGACTATGATCTGAAGTCAAACCCTGAGTCGCAGCAGAAGCGTCTGAGCTGGCTCAGCCGCAGAAGGTTCCGCTGCCGATGCAAGCTCATGAGGAAGCTGGAATGCAAGAACTTGGCCCCGACATCTGAGAAGGTGTAGGCAAGCTGCTCCTTGGGGGAGGCACCGAGGCACACAAGATGGTCCCAGGTCTCTCAGCTCGGCCATGGCGCTGTCTGCCAAGAGTAGAGGTTCAGCTCTGCACCCAGGTAGATGATGCCATAAAACCCAGCCAGGAACACCTCCCCAAAATGTAAAAAAACATGAGCAGTTCAAAGAGGGCCCGAAAGGCCGAACGAAGCAAGAGGCGACTCGCCTGGAAGAGCACGAGAGCGCCCCATTCCTGGAATGATCCGACAACACCGGGCCCTTGCCTAAAGGCCCTAGGAGAAGCCAAGCTTCGCCACCGCCATCCCGATCCCAGTAGATATAGCATTGCACCAGCCTAAAGAGTTGAGCACGAAGCTGTGAATCAATCAAGTACCCAGGGCTTAGCGCGACTTGAAGCTGTGCCACACACTTCAGCTTCAGCCGGGAATCTGTTCTAGAGCAGCCACGGCATAAGCGGCGAAGGATGCCTTATTACTGCATCTTTTTGCTTTTTCGCACCAGTGTCGCCCTTTCATGACACTCTTTAAAAACACTCGCTCTGTGACGATGTCGACTTCCCCTTTTTGGCAGGTCAGGTCTGTCGCTGCCAAGCCACGCAAAGCAAGAACCAGCGCGTAAACTCAGGGTGCACACATGAGACTCTGCGGCTCTCTCGACCTGCCTACTGTTCTGGCGCCATGCCGGCCTCATCTTCCACTACCAAAGCCAACCAAGCGGACCAGATATAAATAAAGGTACCTGAACAGCTTGCAAGTTAACAGTCCCTGGCATGTGACCGAGTATGGATCGTAAGAAGTGGCCAGGGCACAGCGTGCGGAAGGTGCGAGCGGCATTCTGGAAATTCGGTTGCCAACCACAACCGGAATGTTTGCTATCATGTGCACCTTGAATTTGGAAGCAGCACATGTGCAAATGCGAAACACATTTATCTGCGGCCCGGTGGTGTGTCCAGCCTGCTGCACAAAAGCGCTGCGCTCTCGGGCTGCCGGGGGTTCGAGGATCATGTCGTCGTCACCTTCTCTTGCATTCGAGCTGGTCTCACTTGGAACTGCCGGAACTGCCGCGGCTTCAGCAGTTGCTGTTCAAAACCAACGGACTTCTGGAGACCTAGTGGGCTACTGACTCGGCTTGGCAGCGACCAAAGCCAAACAACGGGAAGCAAAACTAAGTCTTTCTTGTGGCTGGTCATTAGCCAAGCACCAGCAAAGCACATCTTCTAAACTGCCGGTTGCATACCCGCCCCGTGGCGTGCTGAACAAGCAAAAAGTATGCCACATGGTTCTGACAGGCTCCCAGCGGGCCTCTCTCTGAAGCCGGATCGCAAGAGAGAGCCAGAAGAAGTGTCATGCAAACTCCCCACCTTACTGGTACACGGGTGAGGCACTCGCTAGGGAAGCTTTCTGGTCTTGCGCCAAGTCTCTCGACATAGCGAAGGGTAAACACTGGACGCGGTCCACCCGCAGCTAAGGGATCTGTGTGCACCCACCTGTGCTAGCGTGGACAGGCACAGAATCAGAACCTTCAACTAAAGCTTCCAGTGCGCTCGGTCGGCTTCAGCGCCATCTTGAAGTAGGAAAGTGATAGCATGGCATATACCTGAGTGCAGAACGTGCTTGACACCACGTATCAATCGTAGAGTTTGAACAACGACTTGAATTTATGAGGTTCGCTCGAGCGATTGAACCATAAGCCGACTGCAGGAATGCCAACCTCGTCGAGGCAGCTTTTCGTCGTTGCGGTGCACTGTCAGCTACGAGTGTTTGTGTTTGGATCGTCCCGGGCCACGGTGACCCCACGCACTTGCACGAAGAAGCGCCGTCCTCGTCACCGTGGCACAGGCTCTATATAGTCGTCGAGGCGGTAGTGTTGCTAGTGGTGGTAGTGGTAGTCGTCGTCGTTTCAGTAATCGAATTAAGTAGTACTGTTACTACTGATACTACAACTACAACTACAACAACAACAACTACTACTACTACTACTGCTGCTGCTGCTGCTGCTACTACTACTACTACTCCTCCTACTCCTACTCCTACTGCTACTCCTACTCCTACCCCTACTCCT